TCCTTAACTCCCTCCCTGAGGCAGAATGAGCTGTAAAGCTGTGAGTACTTTACTGACAGAGTCCAGTCCTGGGAGGGTGTGCTGTGGGTGCCTGTGTCAGGACAGGTAACACCCGGCCTGAGCTGGTGTTACTTTAGCCACCTGTGTTCATGAAATAGAGCCTGTTAACCACTCACCTGCAGCAGTCTCAGGAGCAGAGACTGCAGCAGCTCACTGATTTCATCCTTGCTGACATGATGATCCCTAACTTCCACTCCTTGCAGGTAATGCTGCCTTAGCTGTTTGGCGTCACACAGCTTTCTCTTGCCAAGCAGTGCAATGTGAAGGTAATGCAGGTGATGCATGTGCTGCTGGCACAGATCCTCTTTTATTCTCTCCCTCCAGTAGTGGTCTGTGAGTCCTCCTGAATGCTGATTCTACTTTTGCTCTGCCTACCTAAGTTTTATCTTTAGCTCTTGGGCACTAGAAATCCCTGAAGAGATTCAGGCACAGCATCAGAGAGGGCTGGAATGAGACAGGCTTGTTTCCTAACCACAGCAAATATCTAAGTTTTCCTTTGGAGGGAGGGCATTCCTAAAAAGGGCTGTCCACCTTGTATATACTGTGGCTCTGCCCTCACCAGGGGAAAGATTAATTCTTAGTGCTCTCTTACAAGTGATAATTACTGGATGATGTAAAACTGATTAAGAGGCAAATTGTAACCTCAGAGTGTGGATTTCCCTGGCTTCCTCATTTTGACCTGCTAACATACAAAGTGGCAGGTAGCTTTGTTGTTGATTAGATTTTATCCCACTATCTAACCCAGGAATGTTTTTTACTGCACAGGGCTGAGGCCTGTGGTAATGTAAAGTGAGTGGCCTGTAGGCCAGGGACCAGCTCTCCCAGGCTTCTCTGGAAAACCCTGCACCTCCATCCACGGCTGCATCTCTTCTGCAACAGTTCAAACCAAACACAATGTTCTCAGACTGCAGGTATGAGACGGAGCAGCCACAGTCAAGTTCTTCAGTCCATCTCAGTCTCTCCAGTGAGGGTTGGGCTCATGCATCAACACCACAGAGCACTCCTTCCTCTGATGTTGCTGTTATGCACCCCGTGGATCTCTGTATCCCTGTGTTTACTCGGATTAAGAGGGTTCTGTGCCTTGCTGCCCACACTCTTCTCCTTAATTTTGGCCTGGCTGGATAGATCATGCCAAACGACCGTGCTGCACCAGGCAAGCACCAAAAGGCTGTGATGTTGACAGTGGGGCCTCTGCAGACTCAGCACATAAAATGGGTCACTACTGCAGTTCTTCCAGTTACACAACTCCAGCCTGAATGCTTTTCTTTTCCTTTGCCCTTCAAGTCACTTGAATATAAAGTCACTTTAAATATAAACAAGTAAAACTAAGACAAGAAGGTAACCAAGTCAGGATGAGGAAACGGGAGGGGAAAGGAAAGCATCCCACGGTACTGGTCTGGAGACTTGCATCCTCCAGCTCCAGAGGCTGGTTCCCCAGAGCTCTGCTCCGGGAGCTGCTGCAGAAATAAAGACCCATTGAGCAGTCTGACTCCAAATTAGCATTTGAATTCCCTTGCAGTCTGTTGTCAGATGGGCAGGAGGTGGGTGCTAGTCTCAGACTCTCAGTACTGATATACAAAGGTGGCTTTAAAAGGTCCTTTTTTTTTTTTCCTCAGGGAAATAAATGCATTGCACAAACTATGAACACTTTGTGTTTTCCTTTTTTTTTTTTTTCATCTTCCCTGCCCTTTTCCTCTTTGTTTCACCCCTTTTCCCGGATCAGGCAGAGCTGTAGACAGACACGTCTGGGTATTGTTAGCCCAGTCTGACCTACTTCTTTCCCTCCTCTTGGCCCCGAGTTATGGATGCTGGTGCTATGGAAACCTGGGTGACATGCCATTGCCACAAAGCCAGGGCCACCAGCTGCACCCTCCTCTCCCAGCCCCACAAGCCCTTCCTCTCCACAACACACCCCCAAAGAAAGTTAGCAGTGCTGCTTCCTGGGGAAGTTGCAGAGTGTGCTCCATCAGTCCCACCGAGGGACCACCGGGTTGCCCTTCCTCAGGATCGGGTGCATCGGTGGCACTTATTTCTCAGGTCCCACCACATCATTTTGGTGCCGATTTTGCTTGTGAACCCGCTGGTGCCTGCACACCAGCCCTGTCTGTGCACGGACCCTCCGTGGGCCGTCCCGTGACGGGTGGGAGAGCACGCCTGGCTGCTCCTTAAGTTTTCAAGATAAAAATAACCTAAAAACTTAGGCAACACGGTACAAAAGCCTTGTAGGAGCCTGGCTAGGGTGGGATCCCGCACACGGGATGTCCCTGCAGCGGGACCCTCCGGCCCCTCCGCTCCCCGGCCCGGCGGCCCCAGCCGCGTGGCACCGGCGCCCTCTCCCGATGGGCGCCCGGGCCGGGGCGGCTGCCGGGGCGGGCGGGGG